ATGTCCAAAGTATGTGAGACAAAGCTTCATCATCCTTGCCTCTAAGGAACATTCTGCCTATACTTTCTATAAGACTTATCTGTTCTTTTAGTTACCTGCAAGATATTCAGTACTCTTCTGCACACTCAAAGGAATTAATTGTCTAGCTCTCAGATGCACAGCAAGCAATTGGCCTGACCATGGCAGGAATGAGGGACACTTTACTCTTCAAAATGATATCATTACTCCACAGTAATTTGAAGAGGTCCCTGAGAGTGGTCTTTCTCCAATACAATTCATCTCCTCCTATTCTCCTTACTGCCAGTACCAAGGCATTCAAGTAATTTGACAACATTGACAATTCCAATCTTTTCTCAATTTACCATGATGTTGCCTATTGGTTTAGTGGTAAGAATTTTTGTTTTCTTGATGTTGAGATGTAATACATATTAAAGTTTGTAGTCTTTTCTCTTCTTCAGCAAGCACTTCAAGTCCTCCTCACTTTCAGCAAGCAAGGTTGTGTCATCTGCATAATGCAAGTTGTTGATGAATCTTCCTCTGATCCTGATGCCATGCTCTTCTTAAACTTCTTCAAAGATTTGTTCAGAATACAGATAGTATAGGAATGGAGAAGAGATATAATCCTCAGGCAGATTATACAACCTCCAGAACTGAATGCCAATCTACTCACACCTTGTTTTATTTAGCCTAGTAAGACTCATGTTGGATTTCTCACCTACAGAACTGCAAGATATCTGTGATGTTCTAAGCTACCAAGTGTGTGGGTGTGATGACTTGATACAGAAGCAATAAAAACTTAGCTGCTTATAATCATTAGCAAAGACTAATGCAAAAATAGTGTTCAGGTCTTTCATTCATAGGGTTGCTATGAGTCATCTATGACTTGATGGCACCTAACAACAACAACAACAACAACAACAACAACAACAAGATCTCTGTTGGTCTAGTAGATAGAAAATTATGCTACCAAGCCAAAGGTGGGTAGTTTTAATCCGTGGCCCTCAGGCCTGATTTTAATTGGTTTTGGTCAAACATTCTTCTAAGTGGTATAGCACTGGTCGGTACATTTGCTGTACAGAGGTAACTCGTGGTTGCTGTGATGCTAAACACTGTGACACTGATGTGTCAAATGTGATAATGGTTACCTATGGTGGACAGTGTTTGGTGGAGCTCCCCAATTAAAATGAGTTTGGAAGCAGAAGTGGCATCCACTTCCAAAATAACCTCCAGAAACACTATGAATGTGGAGAAATGATGAAAGTTATACAAGTGTTAGGTCTTCCATTCATAGGATTGCTATGATTCAAGTCACAACAATAACAACAATGCAAAGATAAGAAGCTCTGGTGGCATGGTCTGTGGGAAGTTAGTTCAAATCCATCAATAACTTGAAGGGAGAAAGAAGGACAGTCTCCTCTAGTGTTATTTACAGCCTCAAGAACCCAATGGAGGAGTAGTTATGAGTATGTTCCAATTCATGGAAATTAGAGTTTTTGGGTTAGTGTAAATATAATCATTTGAAATATTCTAAATAATTAACATAAGCAAGTTGAACACTGACACTCTGGTGCAAAGAAAGAAGACAAAAGATACATATAAGAGGAATTTTCTTCTTTTTTTAACACTAGAATACCAGAAGAGAAAGTGATGAAAGTAACAAAAGAATGGAAAAAATTTTTTAAAAATGCTGTTTGGAATGGTCTTCTAGGAGAAGTTTTGGAATCTTTGTCCCTAGAGATCTTTAAGGCACAGAGTAATATATCAATTTTATCTACCCCAGATGTATTAGATATTTCCTTGCCTGATGACAAGGGCCTAGATTAAACAAGCTATCCTGGCCACACAATGTTAAATCTTCTACATAAACTTGCATCTATGTAATTCAGTGTCACAAATGTTTGTTCCCTATCTACTTAGTGTAAGTCATCCTTTTATGAATAACGAAAGAATAAAATACAAATATTGACTCCAAGACATTCACAGTATAATATTATTTTTGTTGTGTATCTTAGAGTCAGAACAGACCCATAGCTGACCCTCCAGCAGGTTTTCAGAGGCAGTTAATCGCATGGGAGGTGATTGCCCATTCTTCTCTCATGGAGAAAAATATTAACCATGTTAAACAAATAACCATCGTTAAGCTCCATAGGGAAAAAAAAATTCTACAAGATGAATAAAAAATAAATTAGAACTCAATCATAGTAAGTTATGAATTTGATTTTTCAAAAGAAAAAAATATTATTTTTAATACTTCAGTCTTAAGCTCTAGTAGTGTAGTGTGTAAGCGTTGTACTGTTTACCAAAAGGCAGCTCCATAGGAGAAATATGGGCAATCTCCTTTTGTGTCATTGTTTACCTCAGAAACCCAATGATGAGTCAACTAAGAGTCAGTTCTCAGTGCTTGATAATTACATGTTTATGGTTGTGCACCACTGAATATAACCCTTGAGAGGGTTTTCAGAGTTGGTAAATCATCTGAGAGGAGATTTCCCATCCTTCTCCTATGGAGCAGCTGGTGGACATGAACTTCATACCCTTGAGATTACAGCTCAAGCTTCTTACCACTAGCCAACAGAGTGCAGTGGTTCTGTTTCTGTTTCTGTGGAGTGCTCATAGAGTGAAGATAGGGAGGAACACTTTGAAATTCCATGCTCCTTGTTGTTTATTTAATAAAGGTTAATTACATTTGTTTGTCAAAAGTACTTAATTCTCTGTATCTTGGTTAATATAAGTAATAAAATTACTTTAACATAATTTTATTATGTTTAAAATAGTTTAGACATTTAATTAACATGGTTATTACTCTTTTGCCCAATTTTAAAGTACAAGAGACATATCTCTCTGTTAAGGAAGGAGGAGCTACAGGACAGCATAGACTCATCTCCACCATTCCTTGGATACATGTACTCATAATACATACAAAGTAGTTCAAATTACAGGATTGTCCAAATTTCTGAAGTTCAGTGAAACATGATTCAGTAACAATCCTATATATTTAGACTACTCAGAAAGTCGCAGTGACTGCAGCAATGGGTTTAGCATAGTAGAGATTGTGAGCATGTGGCAGGGGCAGGCAGGGTTTTGTTCTGTTGTTCATGGTCTTGCTATGAGTGGGAGACCATGCAGGGGCATCCAACAAGAAGAAAACATTCAAACACAAGTTCTCTTTTTTTTTTAAGAAAAAAAAAGTTATTTTTTTAAAAAATGCTATATTCTAGAGGACTTTTTGATAAAAGACTGAGTATGTCACTTATATATTCCAATAATATGATAATAAAATAAAACCTTTTAAGTGAAGCAGAAAATTTTGTAACAGAAACACCTTGAGATTTTGTCTGAAATATACTAAGTTTGAAAGAAATACTGTAATTTTTTAAAAAATTACTATCTGATGAAGAGATACTCAGAAAGCTTTACTTGTTACCTGCTATAAAAGAAAGTAAAGACATATCAGGAAAGCTGTACAATCAAGTGTTCTGGAATTCACATTCTCCTCGAGGTTAGTCACAATTTGCTGTGACTCACAAAGTCAAATGTCTTTGCATAGTCAATAAAATGCAAATAGACATTTCTTTGGTACTCTTCGCTTTCTGCCAAGATCCATCTAACATTGATGATAATACCTCTAGTGCCATGACCTCTTCTAAGCCCAGTTTGTATTCCTGGGAGTTCTCTGTCAGTGTACTATTCCAGTGGTTTCTGGATAATTTTCAGTAGGATTTTGCTTGTGTGTGATATTAATAATATTTCCTCAGACCAGGGCAAGGGAAAAAAATCAGGAAAGGAAAGCATCAGGGATGTATCTTCTCTCCATAACTTTTTAATCTATATGCAGAACAGATTATTTGAGAAGATGGGCTTTATGAAGAAGAATGTGGCACCCGGATGAGAGGAAGACTCATCAACAATCTATATTATGCAGATGACTCAACCTTGCTTGCTGAAACTGGGGAGGACCTGAAACACTTGTTGAAGAAAGTCAAGGATTGTAGTTTTCAATATGGGTTGAAGCTCAACATCAAGGAGACAAAGATTCTCACCACTGGACCAATTGGCAGCACCATGTTAACAATTATAGCTTGCTCAGCTCCACAAGCAACACTCTTAGCACCAGTAGTCAGGAAATCAAAAGATGAATTGCACTGAGAAAATCTGCTGTCAGAGACATCTCCAGCATACTGAGAAGCAACAATGTTAGTCTAGAGACTAAGGTGTGCCTGATCTAGGCCATGGTCTTCACAATTACTTGCTGTGCATCAGAGAGCTGAACAATGACTAAGGATGGTAGAAGTATTGATGCCTTTGAATTGTGGTTCTGGAGAAGTATCTTGAGCATACTATGGAGTACATACCAAGAAAACAAACATATCAGTCTTGGAGAAGGTGAAACCAAATTTCTCCTTAGAGGCTAGAATTTTGAAGCTCCGTTTCATATACTTTGGGCACATGGTCAGTAGAGACCAATCTTTGGTGAAGGGCGTCATGCTTGGAAGGGTGCAGGGACAGCGCAGGAAAGGAAAACCCTGGAGGAGATGGACTGATACTGTGGCAGTGGGGTAGGTGTGTTGGAGTCAGTGAGATCGGCTCAGGACAAGGCAGGCTTGAGAGCTGCTGTACAGAGCGCTGCTTTGAGTCACAGTTAACTCAATGGCACATAATAACAGCTACAACATAAGGGAGGAAAATTATTCCAGATAAACAAGCTGTAGATAAGACATATGTAAGTCCAAGAATTATAATTATTTTTCTCCTTCTGCATTTTTATATTATGTAGTCAGGGATTGTTTAGTATGTAACAAAAAAGATCATTATTTCTGCATGCACTAAATATTTTCTTAATGTAGAAAATTGTGTTACATTTCCAACAATCATGGAGAACAATTTATGAATTCTGGCATTCAATTCTGCAAAAGATACAGAAGAAATTATGCATGCTTTCAAGATTTACGCATCATGTTGTACCTCCCTCCATTCCCCAACCTGAAACACAAACATCTTACCAACTACAGCCTCGGTGTACTTTCCTTCTGCTGGGAGAGGGAAGTACTGGTTTGGGGATAAATTGCTTCCATATCCGAGAAGAAAGCCTTCAAGCTTTATATTTGGATTTGGACGCAGGAACTTCAAGAAGATGGAGTCACTGGTAGTGTTGATGTGTACTTTCAGGCTTGGCCTTTTCCCTAAAGATGGGGAAGTAAAAAGAGGTGGCTGTTATCTTACCACTTTAGCTTCCCAGGAAAAATTCAGAGCAAATGATAGTTGCTGGAGGCATTGTTTTTGGTAAGTCTTCTATATACAGAGTTCCCTGAAATATAATATTTCAATGGCCAAAATATAGCTAATTTTAAGATTGAAGGAAACTGACACAGTAACTTATAAAGAAGAAAACATAATAAAATCTTTGGATCAATATTAGGTAGCTGGATTGAACAGCAAATTTTTAAATCTATACATGATCTTCAGAAGATGAATCTTTTTATATGGAGTTCTGGTGGTACAGTGGCTAAAAGTTCAAAAGGTTGGCAGTTCAAAATCACTAGCTACTCCAAAGGGAGAAAAAACTGGCAGTTTTTTTTTCCATTTTAGCCTTTGAATTTACCTATAGAAACCCTATGGGATAGTTCTTCTCTGTTTTTAGGGTCATTATGAGTGGAAAATGACTCAATGACAACAGATTTAGCTTGTTTTCTTATTATTTTGTTTTTATATTATTCACAATTTCTAGATATCTGCTAGCAACTCTGAGGGAGAAAGATGGAGACAATCTCTTCCCAAGTAATTAACAGATTTGTAAACCAAATGGAAGGCAACCATGAGATATCATCTCACCCCAGTAAGACTAGCAAAATTTAACAGAACAGCAAGCAACAAATGCTGGTGAGGTTGTGGAGAGACTGGAACCCTTATTCACTGTTGGTGGGAGTGTAAAATGGTGCAACCACTGTGGAAAGCGATGTGGTGCTATCTCAAA